GGACAGATCGAAGTCAATCCAAGGATTGAATACAAATTTGGTGAAAGAGAAGTAAATAACAAAGATTGAATACAAATTTGAGAGGAAGGAGGAATCGGGAAGGAGCTCGGGAGGTCAATATCATCAGATACCATGTCACAATAAACAAAAAAAAACTCAGACAAGTAAAGCGCTTATCTATTCCTTCTACATTGATCATAAAATAACTCACACGGCTACAATACAAAGCATCATGCAGAAGGAACAATTATTCCAAATTCAACAAACTACAGGAAACTAATATTAACGAGCTAAAATTCAATCTTTCTATCAGATACCTTAGAAGTGTGGTCCTCAGTGCCCATAAACAAAGCTAGTATCTCCTAAACCTCCGAAACTTGTCAGTCTATACCGATCACCACTATTTACTACTTTTACTCCGCTTGAGAACACCTCCATCGAGGACAGTGGAGATATCATATTGAAAGCGGGTAGGATTGAAAAAGGCAACGCAAAGCCTTCAAATTGTATCACCTCCACCGAACGGCGAAGAGACAATTGCGAATTGGGAAAAACGGATACAATCCAATGTAAGCATTGTAATTATTAGAAAAAACAGATTTCGTAGTTCTAAGGGCATATGAATTATAGTTGTAGGGGGAATAGGACATAGCATGGAAAATTTCCTAATCAATAATCGGTGATGACGGTGGAGGAGGTTGATTAATGAGGAAGTGTTGGTGGTGATGATTACGTTTTCTTTTCTTTTTTTGAGGAAAAATCGTAGGGAGAAGGGACGACATCGTTTTCTTGTTTGGGGGTTTTTCCCCTCAAAGGCTTATCGGGTTTTTTTTTATTAGGATATCTTGAATTTATGAAATCCCGATTTTAACCCTAATAAGCTATTGACGTCATATCTATCCCATCCGACGGCCGAGATTGATTTGACGGGGATCCTTGAATATTTCTTGGGCATTATTTCTTGCCTACTATACCTTTTATTTAAGTATAAGGAAGAATGAAGATTTTCACCGGAAAAAGAAAAGCAAAATGGTGGAGATTGTTGTTCAGAGTCCACGATCTATGTAGACCTGTGATAACGATGGATCCGTGTGTGCAGGCTTGTATACTGACTCGGGAGTATATCCGGAGTTATAAACTGACCCAACAGTATACCTGGTGAATTATATTGTGGGCTAAATACCCCATTGGATTTGAGGAAGCGTGTTAGGGCAAAGAATCCCACATCAATGTCGTGAAAGATACGTCACTTGTTTATAAACTCCAAAGGCCACCCCGCTTATTGTTAATTAGTTTTGAGGTAAAATCTTATGGGCTTTTATATGGTATCAGAGCCAGTCCATCAAGAGTCGGACTCCAAGCCTAATGAGTCTGATGTGATAGAACTGGTAAGGCTAGGACGTGAGATGGTGACTGGGCTGAAAAAAAAAATAAACAAGTCCAACTCAAGAATATGTGTTGCGGATTGCGGGGGAGTGTTGAGTATCCCACATCAGTAGTGGGAGAGACTTGGTATCAATATATAACTCTATGGGCTATTTCCTTTATTACCAATTGGATGTGAGCCCAAGGTGACTTTCATAGAGATCATGAACATACGCAAACTTAATGTACATACATAGTCCTTGTTACATGCATGAAAGACTTCTAATTAATGTAAGTTTGAATCTCGATAGACAATAATCACAATAGTGTGTCATACATGGTAGTTATATCGCATTCACCTAATGGGATCATAATTAACTTCAATGCTTCCTCCCATTATTTCGTTGATTATTATCATGAACCCACAATATCATCAAAGATTATCAATCAGTTCATTCATGCACCCGATTTAACGTTTAATTGTCATGAAAGCAAAATATTCTCTTAACTTTATTCTGCTCTTTCAACCTACTTCTAATATCTTTGCCCGATTGACAACATTAATCGTCTATAAAAAGAACTCCACCCAAACATCCATGATGTAAAAAACACAAACAAACTACAAAAACTTGCCAATTCATTTGTTTTTTCTTTTCTCACAATGGCTAGACTCAGTTTTCTATCCTTTTCAACCTGCTTATAATCATGATCCTAATGTCCGGCACGCAAAACCTCCATCTAGTAAACGGAGACGCAAAACTTATCGCCCAAATTTGCTCCAAAAACCCTTCACCAACCTACTGCAACCAATGCTTGGGCGACTTCCCTAAGCAAAACGCGAAGGAACTCGGCTCAACCGCCACAGGTTGTGCCTTGGTGGCGAACGACGATCTGAGGGACGACTTTGGGGACTGCATCCAGCACGGTGCGACCGAGAAGTTGCGGGACGACTGCTCGGATTGCCTTATTTTCACTTCTCGCGTCGCGGCGCATTTGAACCAGGCCTTCCGTTCGTATTCTCAGGACCGGGTTTCGGAGGCTGCCGGGTTGGTGAAACGGGCTGTAGTTGAGTATAAAAAATGTGTGAAAGTCTTTAGGGCTACGTTCTTTCCCCCACCGTTGGGCCCACACTTTAGGGATTTTCCTGGTTTTGCTAGTGCTGCTTTGGGTGTTCTTCAACAAGAATAGTTAATTTGACGATTTTGGAGTAAAGATAAAAAAAATTGTAGCGAAAATAAATGTTAAGCAAATAGTACAGTATGTCATAGACCTGTGATGCAAGGAATTAATGAGAAAATTTACGTAGAGTTCGAATTAATGCTTGGGTATGAGTTTCTCTCTTTTACTTTTTGTTAATCGAATATTTGCTCTTTTGAATACACGATTTTTGTAGGGGGAAATTCTTGAAATTGACGAAATGTTTTTATCTTAATGAAGTTAAAATCGAATATTTTATACTTTCATTAGTATTCTTTTCTTTTTCCTATCTTAGTATAAGATATTTTGATTTGTCCTAGATTTTACTTAGTAAGTATTTTTTAATTTACAAAAAAAATCTTAAAAAATAATTCATAACAATCAAGAGAATATAATAAATGTGAAAAAAATATTTTTAAGTTTTTTTTTTTATAAATTAAGAATGCGTACTAGGTGAAACCTATAATAAATCAAGATACTTCTTCCGTCCCACAAAAAAAAAGTCCAATTTAATAAAATAGTTTATCCCAAAAAAAAGTCAAAATTAATTGAATTGAAATGACTTAAATATTCAAAGAGTAGTGGTAAGGAAAACAAGGTCCACTTCTATTGATTTTTATTTTTTTTTAGTTTTCTCCCATTTTTTCAAATGATTATATCTTTTAATATATGAATAATTAATAAATGTGTTATATATTAAATTAATCTACGTAACGAGATCTTTCCATCAAGATCCATTGTCATTATTTTTTGAGATAAAAAATTTTGATCAAATTTAAGTTAGGGGCGTAAAATGAGTTGTACATTTGGTGGATTGACCAAATTAAAAAAGTTGTACATTTTCAAACTGGACTATTTTTATGGGACGGAGGGAGTATCTTATATTAAGGATCGGAAGGAGTATTTTATTTAGAACAACATTGTTGATAATTATGATGATTTTGATGTATCAAATACCTTACCTTAAGAATGTTACTGATCATGATAATGTTGTTTAGGCTCATTTATTATTTGACTTTCATGATTATATATATTTTCGGCGCAAGGTACTGCTTTGACTCTATAAAATGGAGATCTTCATTTGTTTGAGAATCCCAGTCAGCAAATTGTGTGACTATATATTTTGTCGTTGATGAAGTATACTAGAATATGTTTTTCAAAAAAAAAGTATACTAGAATATGTACTAAAATTGAAAATCTCTATTAGACAATATTTTTTTGGATGTAAAAGTAGTAGCGAAAAATTCGTCCTAAGTGCAATTTTGAATGAATTGAATGGATACTACTAGATTAATCCATCCAAAGGATACTATGCATACACATATTGATTTCCACGAAATTTCCTTTTTATCTTTTGGTCGCAGATGAACTTTTATTTTACGGACGCTCACGTCGTGTTATATAATCATTGACGTAAACAATGAATTTATATTGAGAAGTTCCAATTTGCGTGTGGTTGCTGCTTAGCATCAACTCTAGGATGAAGAAAAATGCTCCCTAATTTAAAATATAATAATTTACCCCAATTATGTGCTGACATAACGTGTGCAATAAGTTTGTTACTATTAGTCTACAAATTAGTTCATATGTATGTGTTTTTTCGAGAGGACCGCTGCTCACGCATACTGAAATTTCATGAAAATTTCATTTTTTGACAAAAAATAATTAGAGAAAAATTAAATTAAAAACATCATCATCGACACACCTTTTATTATTCCATTTTTTCTAATACGACTCTGTGTTTACTTATTTTTTCAATCAACGTGCAAACTAAATATTGCAAGTCGTTCATTTTTCTTTTTTTTTTTTGTGTTTATGCATATCACGTATTTTGGGTAGTTATTTTTAGATATACATTTCTCACCTTTTGAGTTATATAAAAAAATAATGAAATTCATGTTAACATACCGTGCGATATCGGTATCACATCAAGCTCCTCCAATAATTATTCCATAAAAAAGGATTACTTAAAGCACGGGAAATTATAACTCTATATATGCTTCAGTTTCTATTATAGACGAAGGGACAGCATTGCTTCTGAATTTACTAACAAAATATCTATTGTATCCATCGCTTCAATAAAAGGTTTTGGTGATGGTAATCCCATAATTATATCGGCACATTGTAGACAATCACTATGAGCTAGTCCAACCGAATCTGTAGCATTTTGAAAACTGTCATGACCCAAAACAGCAATAACTACACACAAGGATAACACCAAATGAGATAATATCAAATATAAGATAATAACTACACAATATCACTAATTCTAGATAATTATCGCATGTGATAATTATCATATTGACAACTATAATACGCACCATTATCGTGGCATTTTCACAAAGTCACTTCAAAACTAAATCCCTTTTGAGTGTGAGCTTTTTCAAAGCTTAAGCAGGAAAGAATAGAAAAGTAAATACTGGATTAATAGAAGGCACAGAAAAACCGTTGTCATAAGTTCATAGTCGTTTTGACAATATATGTGTAGTTGAATGCAAAAATCCAACAACAATCCAAGAATTACATTATAATAATTGAGACAGAATTGCAACTACATTTATATAATACTCCTTTAAGATCTCGAAATCAATGTTAAAAGCATCTGTCGCCGGGAATTCCCCCACAAGTAGCTCGGCGCATTGCTGACGATTATCACCGGCTCTTCCCGCAGCATTCACAGCTTCATCCATGCGTTTCTCGTCCAAATGACGTTTTGCGGCTTGAAGACTCTTGATCGAATTTCCCAGAAGGAATTGGCATCTTAGGCACACATCTTTCACCAGATTATCAACCGTCCCATTTGAGATGACGTCGAGATCTACACTAACATTAACACTTCTTGAGATAGAGCAATCCGCGGATTGTAGGGCGAGCCCGAATGTATCCTTGGAGTAGCGATCCGGGTCTTCTCGCATGCATAACTGGCAGAAACCCGGTTGAGGTGTTTTCCTACATGTTTCATCAATTAGGGCTTGATCACCTTTCACGTTAAGGCATTTTGTAGCTATGAGGAAGCATGATAAGGCTAAAATTATACTAACTCTCGGCATATTATCTCTAGCAAGGTAAGAATACTATAGGGATTTTATTTTTGTAATAGAGAATGGGTGTTTGTAATGGTCGCTTAGGATATTTTGATAATCATGGTAATCTTACTTCCAATAAATTTATACTATAAAATGGTTCAGAGAATGAAAATTTTACACGATAGTTATAGGTTTTCCTCCACTTAGTTTTGGTTGCTTAAGTCGCGGTTCAATTCAAGAATGCATAAGTTTTTAATCTGGAAGGATTAAAACAAAATTTGCACGTTACTCACCATTCAGGAAATGGTGAAGGTTGGGGATTCGTTAGCTACCGTCTTAGTATTATATGCTGGATATGGTTGTCAATTACAAGTAAAAAGTAGTTATATTAACGACATGGTAGTCCAAAAGTTAGTTTATTAGAAATGCACGTAGCAAGTAATCAGAACGAGTGAAAAAGAAACACATTCTCTCTCTAAAACCCAAGTGAGAGAAAATCCTCTCTTTTTCCAAGGGAGAAAGGCCAAAAACTAAACACTTTTTTATCACCACTAAATATATTTTTACATCTACCATTTGCTTTGCTTAATCGATCCAGTAAATCATCCCTTGGATCCTATTCCAGTTATCCGTTGCTCAAGTTAATGGACTTGGCAAAATTTTTCTGCACCCTCTTCCCATTTGTTTTGCATGCAGGCTGGTGGCAAGTTCAGCAAACTCCACTAACGAAATTTAAATTCTTGTCTTCACCCTATAATACGGCGGCGAATTATTTGCCTCCTTCCCCAGATTCACTTTCCAACTCCGTTTCAGCTCTTTTTTTTAGTTCTTTTCACTTTCCAAGTATTTATGATTTTCTTAAAATCTTTTCTGCCCTTTTCTGTGTCATAATCCTTTAATATACCCACATTTACTCTACTCAATCCAGTAAAATATTCCCCCTGGGAAACCATAGAATCCCTTGTGTTTCTTTGTTATTAATATCCATCTGCTCTGTAGCTGAAAAATTCCTCTCGAATTTTCGATTTCATTGCTCCATAGTTGCAGATTTTTTCTTAGAATATCTTATAGTTTGCAGATCTACTTGAAAACAATTACTCATCGCCATGCAATGGCAGAAGATTCAGTTATAGCCATGTCTGTGGCTAGACCTGAGTTCTCTGAAGAAAGATATGACTTCTAACCAGGCATTGATGTCCATCCTATGCTTATCACCGCTTCTCATATGCGTACAACTAACATGCAGATTACAGATCATCATACATGGCTTTTGAGACAGAATCTACAGCTTTCTCTATTGGGATGTCTCTTTGATGACAGAGAATTTGATGATGTTCGCATGCAAAGCTACATCAATGAATATTGACCCATGAATGCTCGCGTCCTTCATTATGAAAGGAACTTCTTCATCATCAAGTTCCGTAGCCATGAAGATCTCCTCACTATCCTTGGTAATTGCCCTTATGCAGTCGAAGGTGGCTTGCTAGTGCTTCGTCGATGCTCTGACACTGAAGATCTGGCTTTGGATGGCATTCGAATAGACAAGCTGAGTGTCCGGGTGAGAATGCATGGTGTGCCAATCACTTTGCTGAACTATGCTGGTGCTCGAGATCTAGCCAAGAGAGTGGGAGAAGTAGCTCTTGTCAAGGAGGATTATGTTTCCCTCCGTAAGGCCACCTAGTTCGTAAAAAGGTATGGATTAGACCACAAGATCCCCTGAGTCCTTATTTTCACATTACTAAAAGAAATGGTAGGCGTGCAAAAATCAGTTGTTTTGAGAATGTGCATAAATTTTGCAAACGATGTGGAAGGCTTGGTCATCCTTGTCAGAGGTGTCGAATGGTCTCAAATACTGAATTGGAAGCATTCCTGGATAATTACTTCCTTCTGAAGGCCATCAGAGAGAATTCTCCATTGCTAATTTATGCCAACCGGCCCCTGTTTTTGTCTTCTATGAGGGCTCATGGCCATAAGAAAAAGAGATGTACCAGGATGCGTACATATAAATATCTACAGATGCAAGACTTTTACGAATCACTTCAATTATGATGGTAGTTCTCATGATACTGTCTTCTGTCCGTTTATCTCTGCTGAGTTCTCTGATTCAGAAACTAGTACTTTTTCCCCCACATTTGTACACAATCTTAGTTCTTCCCCTACTAGGTTTGATGATTTTGTAATAAGGCAATTCGAAAGAGATCTTGCATACTTTGCTTCCTCTGATGAAGGAGGTTCTGATGATTCCTTTGTCAAGATAGGCTGTGCTGGTGCTTCTCTGAAATGCAGATCCAAAAGAATTCACAAAACAAAAGCTCGCAAACGTGGAAATTCCAAAAAAAAGTTGATTCAAAGGCTGCTGATGTAGTTACTGATACTCAATCAAGTGACAGCTCCTTCTGTATGAAGATCAGGAAAGCACAGTCAGACACAGACATTCCAGCTCATTCCAAGTTTTCCACGCTGGATAAGGCTAAGTCAAGAATCAAAGCTAATTCACAAGGAGGATGGCGTATGAAGGTAGATAGTGATGATGAGGACGAGCCAGATTCAGACATTGTTGATCAGCCTCATCGTAGGAAACGTCATTCTAAAGACTCAAAGGCAAAATTCCCCAGAAAGGTGAAGAAAAGAAGCTGTGAAGCAGCACTTCAGGATTTCCCATGCAGTTTTCAGCTCCAGAATCAAGCTCAAGATTCCAGCTCTCTTAATGGTATTGCGGCAGTTGAACCAGAACAACTGCCTTCACAGAAATGAGTATCATCTCCTGGGATTGTCGAGGTATGAATCATGCCTCCACAAAGCATGTAATAAATAGAGTAGTTAATTAGTATAATCCTAATATCTTGTTCTTGATGGAAACAAAAACTAGTAGTACTTCGGTTTCACCCTGACAACAGGCTTCTATTTTTAAGAACTCTCTAGTAGTAGCTTCAGTAGGGCATAGTGGCGGACTAGCCCTCTTTTTGTGTGATGGTGTTCTACTCATAGTTTTATCCCGATCATCTAACTTCATTGTTGCCAAGGTTACTGAAGCAATGGGTTTTGATTGGGTGGCTGTATTTTTATATGGTTTGCCTTCTGCGCAAGGTCGAACCGAATTTTGGAATCAGCTAAACAATATCATTTCTGCTTTGTATTACCCTTGTGTAATTCTATGAAGACTTTAACCAAGTGGTTAACCCAGAAGATAAATATGGTGGCCATCAAGTTAGAGAGACAGATACAAGACCACTTCGACACCTTCTGATCAACAATAGACTTGATGAATTGCGCCTTCTAGGTTGCGGGTTTACCTGGTCTAACAAAAGACAAGGCAATGATATAATCTTTGACTGTCTGGATCGTGCCTTTGCCAATCCACAATGGTTAGATTCCTTTGGCTCTGCTATACTAAGAAATCTACCAATTCTACATTTGGATCATGGACCTCTAGTCATTGAACTTAAAGGTTTAAAGAAATGAAAGCCTAAAATTCATTTTGAACAATTCTAGTCAACCTGTTCACAATCAAATGACTTAGTGGAACAAGCATGGACTACACCGCCTCTTCAGATTGATAGTAAACCAAAAATATTGTCCTATAAATTGGATAATAGCCTTAGTAATCTTAATAGATGGAGTAGACAAAGATTTGGTCAAATTGATACATATGTGAAGAAAATGTCTGCTCAAGTAATGACCACCCAACAGTTGTGGGAACAGGAAAGATCAAATGGTAATCTCAGACAACAGTTAGCGGATCAAATAAATACACTGGAAGATGCATTGAACTATCAACAACACTACTGGAAACAACGGACTAAACTATGTTGGTCACTTCAAGGTGATCGCATTTCTAAGTTTTATCATAAATGGGCAGCAAGAAGGAAAGGCAATAAATGGATCACGGAATTATAGAATCCTCAAGGAATCTGGATCCAGAATGGAAATCAGTTAGGTGACATGTTGATGGATCACTTTTCAGGGATATACAGCTCTAATGACCCTCAAGTTTATGATGAACATTCTCCATACTTGCATGGTCTACTCAAAAACGTTGATGACGTATTCTCTCAAGATCAAGTCACAACCCGAGCAAGACCTTTTTCCAGGCAGGAAGTTTGGGCTGCAACACATCATATGGCTCCTTGGAAATCTCCAGGGCCTGACAGAATACTGGTGGGTTTTTACCAGAAACATAAAGCTACCATTGATGCTGATGTCTCACAAACCATTCTTGACGTAATGACATCTCAAACCTTCCCACCAGAATGGAATCAAACTCAAGTGGTGCTCATTCCAAAGAACAAAAATCTGGTCACACCAAATGACTTCCATCCAATTAGCTATGCAATGTCAAATACAAAATCATCACCAAGATGATTTCCAATCGTCTCAAACCTATGATGAATGACCGAATTGATGAAAATCAAAATGGTTTTGTACCGGGTCTGAATATCACGAAGAACATACTGTTGGCTCATGAAGTTGTTGAACATATACGGAAGAAAGATGGTGCATTGGGATTGGCTGCCATTAAATTGGATATGAGCAAGGCGTATGACCGTGTCTCCTGGCCGTTGTTACATCAAGTTCTCATTAAGGCAAAATTTCCACCGCACCTTATTGCCTTAATCATGCATTGGGTATCAACGGTCACTTACTCAATCCTGCTAAATGGTGAAGGACTCCCATTCTTCTCACCAAATCGGGGATTACGTCAAGGTTATCCTCTTTTCCCCTATTTGTTTATCTTATGTCAACAGGTACTTTTTTCTGCAATCAGGACAGATATACAATCCTTTCCGGGATTGGATGTCAAAATTAGTCGGAATGCTCCCCGCATAAGTCATCTCATATATGCCGTTGATAGTTTTTCTTTTGTGAAATGCTCAGAGGAAGCTATACTAGCACTTTCGGGATTGATAGACCTCTATTCAGCATTCCCTGGTTAGAAGGTCAACTTCAATAAACCATCGATCCTAAGCAGCCCTAACACTTCACCAACTATGAAAGCATTCTTATATTCCACACTTAAAATTCCTCAAGGGAAGTTTCAAAGTAAGTATCTGGGAGTTAGTCAAGATTTTAATGAGAAGAAGAAGGATTTTTTTTTGTCAATTCACTGCCAAACTATCAGCCAAGTTTGCAAATTGGAAAACAAGGCTATTATCCTTATCTGGACGCATTACTCTGGCAAAATCTACACTGTCTTCCATGCTTGTATATCCTCTGGGAGTTTTTAAATTGCTGGCTTCTACACTTCAGAAGGTAGACAGTATTACAGGAAATTTTGTTTGGAAAGGTGATTTACATGAACATAAAATTCATTGGAGGGACTGGAAAAAAGTCACGAAATCTCAATTCCACAGAGGTCTTGGTTTAAAGGCCACTAAGGAGTTTAATCAAGCCATCCTTGCAAAACATGCATGGAAAATAATGTTCATTGCTCTCAAAGGTTTATAGAGCTAAATATTGTTCCAACAGCATTTTACACCAACTCATCCGGCAACAAACTCATCTTGGGGGTTCAAAAGCATTCTCTGGGGAGCGGAACTTCTACAGAATAATGTGAAATGGAACGTAATCTCTGGTAAAGATATTGGCATTGCTGATGACTGGATAAATAAGAGTAATCCAATAAGCAAAAATTCCATCTTGGCAACATACACGAGTTTTAGGGTTAAGGACTTCATCCAACCCTCTGGTCGTTGGAATATAGTTTTTCTTCAAAACATTTTCCCGCCTTCCTTCCTCCCTCATATTACTGACATTCCTATTGATATTGATAGAGTTAATCAACCGGATAGACTTCAGTGGCTCCACACATCACATGGTACTTACTCGGTTAAAAGTGGTTATCAAATAGCCATGAATAACTGACACCATGCATCTTCTCAGCCACCAAATGCTCCAGAAAATAAAGCTTGGGAACGTCTCTGGAATTCATCAGTTCAACCAAAGCTAAAAACTCTGTTTTAGAGAGCTTTGCTCAATGCGCTTTCTTCTAGATTAGAACTAGTTAAAAGAGGAGTTCCAGTATCTAATGTTTGTCCCAGATGCAATCAAACAGAAGAAGATAACTTGCATCTCTTCTTCAACTGTTCTTCATCAAAGGAAATCTGGAATCTGGCTCCCACCGCATTTCACCATCTTCTGCAACAGGAACAGGCCCCCTTGTTTCAAAGATTTGTCTCCAAGGTTCACACAAATCCATCTAAGGAGGATATAGACTACTTCCTTATCATAATCTGGAATATTCGGAAGGAACGAAATGAAAAAATTTGGAGGCAACAAAAAATACGTTTGTGGAAATTTGGCGGATCATCCAGGTGGAGTTTAACATCCATAAGAGGCAGCAGAAGCAGAAAAGAGTGGTTCAAACAAGAATCATAAGTTCCTCCACTAACTATCTACTATCTCGTTTGATGTATCCTTTCACCCTATCACTCACAAAGCAACGGGAGTTTGGAAGATCACCTCCCCCTTTGATATAGTTCTTCAGATTGGATCCGAAGACATGGAGGCTCAGTCTCCATTGCAAACGGAAATGATGATCTCCATTGCAAACGGAAATGATGACATGTCTATCAGCACTTTAACAAGCTTCCAATTGTAGAATCAAAAATGTTAAAGTTCACACAGATTGTGAATTTTTAACAAATCACCTAAGGGATTTACAAATCCCGATTGAGGTGCAAGAAATTGCTCCTCTTCTAATTTCTCTAATAGATACATTTGACTACTGTGAACTGATTAAAGTCAATAGGTCGTGTAACATTCTGTTTCACATTGCTACTTGACAGAGTGAATCACATGTATATAAGTCTGAACCTCATAAACTACAAACAACTCGGGTTAACCATTTTGGGCTAGCGAGAACAAAAGCCTAGCCTGAAAGTGGGCTAGTCTATGAGGCTGGGATGTTAAAAATAGTATCAGAGTGAACCCTGGTCTAGGAGCTAAGTGCTACGTGCGGACACACCTCTGAGCCCACTGACAGGACAAGTGTAGAGACACCTCTGAGCCTGCTGACGGGACAATTGCGAAGCACGGGAGCCACCTCTAGAATCCTATTCTAGGGGAAGAATGGGCCACATTCTTGCTTGTTGAGCTTTGCGAGGACGCAAAGATCCAAAGGGGGTAGGCTATAACATCCTGTCCCACATTGCTACCTGACCGAGTGAATGACCTGTATATAAGTCTCAACTTCAAAAACTACAAACAATTTGGGTTAACCATTTTGGGCTAGCGAGGACGAAAGCCTAGCCTGAAAGTTATTGGACTAGTCTATGAGCTTGGGATGTTACAGGTCGGATGCAATGGAAGTCCATAATATAGCTTACTACAAGATGTAATGTAATAGTCTAGGAACGTTATCCTAATCTAATACAGGTTTCCTTTTCTAAAAAAAAAAAAGAGGAATGCGCGTATATATGTATGTAGTGGCTAAGGATATTATATGCATATATCATTCAAAAGATTAAAGAAAACCAAACAAATCTGGGAACTGATAATGGACTCGACATTTATTCATGTACATACGAATTTACGAAATGAATACTTACTTCTTTTGTTTGGTTGTGATACATTACATTTAGTTATTTTAACTTGAAGGATGATGTCAATATTAAACAAAAAAAAATCCCCATTTAACACAACGTAATGAGTTTTACTTGTTTCTAACAAATTTCATGCCCATTTAGTCACTAGGGTAAATTGTCAGTGAAAAGCTTAAAGTCGTCACTAAACTCCATATTGATGACAATCCAATT